CAACAAATATTTACTTATATAATATTTAATAAAAATTGTTTAAAATTTATTATATACCTTTTGTCTTTAAATTTTATGTAAGAATTAATAATTAAAAATCTAAACAAAAAATTTAGATCATGCAAATCTAAATTATATAAAAATTTTCTGGTTATTTTTGCAATATACTGTATAATTTCAGTTATCTTCTTTATAATAAGTTGTTTTGCTATAAAGACGAGAGAATCCTTTTTTATATATTTAGGCTAGAAGGCCTGGTTTGCGACATTTCTTATTACAGGTATGTATTTGATTAGCTACAACTGTAACATAGAGCTCAGGTTCATATAGTGGATCTGATATAGTTGATTGTATTATATTATTTTGAATCATAATTTAAATAGTATTAGTTGTTCAATAGCAATTATAGGTATAAGTGGCATCTTAATTTTAAAATTCAACCCTGCCAAAAAAATTGGTAATAGTACCAAAGCTTATGAAATTAGGCTTTTTGTAAAGTTTTCTTTTTAGAGACTGAAATCTATAGACCAAATAGTTCACACAGTAAAATAGTTTATTTGTTAGTAGTATGTTATGATTGTTACTAGTAGAAAGTATATTATAAAAATGGGTCTATTGGCTCTCAGCAATATTTAAAGTTATAAAAAGAGCTCATGGGCCAAATTCCTTTATTATAGAATTTAGATGAAGCTGTTTTTGATAGAAATAGGTATCACCTGTATATATAAAAGATGGAATAGAAGAAGTAATATTTTCATTAACTATATTATATAAAGTATAGGTACTAGGCTAAAGTAGATCTTGTCCTGACAGAAGGTATTTGTCATTAGTAAGGGTTAGGTTGGCACACCAAATTAGTCTCTGCATGTTTTGATAATGTCTTAGTTTTTCTAATTGAAGATAGGACCAGGAAGGCTAGTGGGTATGAAGTCTCTATCTTGGGTTAATATCAAATAAGCATAATTTAATATATTTACTGTAAGTTTTGTTATGAATTTCAGTTTCTAACGTCAATTGGTTTGAAACGTCGTGAAAATGATCTTTTTTATCTATAAATAGGTTTGGAAAAAGTAAGGGCTCTAAGTCAGGATTATAAGTAAAAATCAGCAAATGTAAAGTATTACTTTCTTGAATGAAACTTGCTATTAATCTGGTATAATGGAAGTCTTTATTATGAACTTCATTTGGAAAATTATAATTAAACACTATTATTTCATAAGAATTAATAGAAAGAAGTTTGTTATCAGTTTGAAATTGTTGTGCTCTTAGAAAGGGTCTATCTTGGTTTTGTAATAAGAGGTTAGCAAATGGGCGAAGATATAGGTTATTTTGAGCTAACCAGTTGGCAGCATACTGTAAAGCTTGATTATGAGTTGAGTTATTAACTAAATTATTATTATTATTATTACTGTTTGGCTCTAGAAAAGCTCCTAAGGTTCCAGAATATAAGGTAAGAGCTCTAATATTGCGTAAATAGTTCATGGTTCCAGTTGAGCTTCTGTATTTAGTATAAGAGTTACTATTTGGTACTTTATCTAAAAAACAATAAAGGTATACCGTCGATAATCATTTTCTCATATGCAAAGGAACAGATTTAATTTCATCTAGTATAAAGGAAAGGTAAAGAAATGAAAATCTTGTTTCAGGTTTTTTACAAGAATTACAAGTAGGTATTTTGAGTTCTGGGTTTTGAGTAGTGCTAGGATGAAAGAATAAAAGAACACCAGGTATACGTTGTAAAGGGTAAGTAATTAATTGATCATAGCATTCCCAAGATGCTTTTTCAGAATATAAGAGACTTTCACAGTATACACAAGCAATCCAAGGCATTGGGTTAAAATATTGCTCTAGAATCTATTATATAAAGTTTGAAATTGTGTCAAGGGTCTCCAATATGTGAGTATTTGAGGATCATTATTAACTGCACTAGAATTAGTAGAGCTAGTACTACTTTGTTCATTAGAATTCAATTCATTAAAATTCAGCTCATTAGAATTTAAATCATTAGATTGAGCTACAAATTGGGAGGACAGGTCTATAGTACAAAGTCGATGTATTATTATTTTTTTTTATAAATTTATTTATTTTTTATGTTTGTTAAGTCTATTTATTTGATAATATCTAATTGGTCTGATGTGAATAAAAATATATGAGATATTAAGAAAATTTAAGATAATTTAAATTCTAACAAATTTATAAAAATAATAGCTAGAACAATTTTTTTGTTGTTAAATTTTGAGTTCAACTAAGTCAAAAGTTGTTGGTATTAGGTATATATATGTTCAATTTATCTAAATCGGCTTATGTTCTTAAAGAGATTTATTTAAGAGATAGACATTATTTATGATATTATCTTTATTGTGGCTATTATTATTGATACATATGTATATACTTAAATTTTCTTTAAAAGATAGTTGCTATTTATAGTATTGTCCTTATTGCAATTATTAATATTTAATATTTAATTTTTTAAGAGTTAGCATTTCTAGATTTAATTTTTGGCATATTATGACTATTTTGATCTATATTTTTATATTTATTATATCTATATAAAATATAATAAAATAAGCGCATGGAAGTAAAAACCTGCAGCTGTGTTAATGGTTTACTATAATAAAAATTTTAGATGTTAAAGAATGTTTTTTTTATACTAAACTCTATTTAACTACTCCTATTTATTGCTAAGAAGAAATTTGTTTTACTTAAATAAAGTATAAATAAAAGGCTATGTAATATTGATGACCTGGAATGGTAAATTTAAGGATTTTGATAACAATATTAAATATTAATGTTAAATTTTTTTTGATTTATTGGGGTTTGCAAAATTATATAAAATTTGTGAACTAAAACAAAGAAATTGATAAATTTTGACTTTTAACTTCTTTAATTAAGATATATTAACTAATATTTTACTATATAATATAGTCCGTAATATGGATATTAATATTTTTCAAAAAGCTGCTAATTATCAGATAATCTGACTGATAAAAAAAAGCTAATGATCATCAGTATTCAGCATTAATTGAAAGTTTATATTTTTGTTGGATCTTTAATAGAATGTGTGTTGATGAAATTACATATATTAGAGGTTTTTACAAAAAGGCTAATATAAAGATAAAAAACATTAAGAAAAGAGTAAATATTATCTGTTATTTTTTTTTGTATATGGTATTGTATATCTAAAATATCTATTTTTTAATACTTAGTTTAATTAATAAAGAATCTAATAAATAGTTATATTACTGAATATGATTATTATTTAAAAATCATATAGCCAAATATGGCTGTTATGATAAATTATTTGTAAAAAATCGGTAATATAAGGTATATAGCAAAAAGTAAAGCTTACAGATAAGTATTTTTTAAAGTTTAGATACTAAAGTTTTAGGTAATTTGGTAATATAATTTTCAAAAACATAATAGTAATCGATAAAAGGAGCAAAAGAGATAGCTTAAATAATGACTGTCATTTTTGTATTAATTGACTATAATATTTGAATATTATTCTAATTATTTAGTTTATTATGTTAAAAGAGGTACTTAAGCATGGGTGCTATATAGTAAGTTTTAATTTGTACAGTATGATAAAGGTAATAGTAATAAATTTTGATATTTAATAAATTATATCAAACATATTTATAAAATATATGTAATTTTTTTTTTTTATATACAGTTTATAAATTTAATAAATTTTATCTTTCTTTAAGAAAAGAAAGATGAGAAATAATAAAATTTAGTCTTTATAAATTTAGACAATTTATAGACTTTGAGTTTGTAGCTTGAAGGGCTTCAGTAAAATTTTGATTTGGGAAAGTTGTAAGAATAGAGATAGCATTCATATTAGATAGAGTATTATGGCCTTTTTTTGAAATCTTTGGGGTTGACGGTTTCGCAAATATCCTGAAATGCTTGATTGGGCTAATTATGGCAGAGAGGACTATGAGGTTGAGTTATTTCAGTTGAAAGTGATCATGGTGATATCTTCTAAAACTAAAATATATTTTCCTGTTGTTGTTTCATATATAATGGTGCCAACTAAAACTGCAGTAATTGAGCAGACATTCTGATTAATTGCACCTGTTTTGTTAGAAAGATATTTATTGTTGACACTATATTTAGCTTCTATCCAAAAGTTTGAGGGCTCTTTATTTCTAACTTTTTTTTTAATATAGAATTCAAGGCTTATATTATCATCATTATTTTTGATAGTTTGATTTGTGATGCCGACAATAAATATGTTTATGCTCAGGGCGGACATATTGTCAAAATCAATCGGGAAATTTTTTTTATTGCAGTTCTGCGCATATTTGCAAAAAAATTAAATACTAAATTAGATGAAAATCTGCACAAAACTTCAAAATTTATACTATAAATGCAGAAATTAGATGCAATTCTGTGCAAAACTTCAAATTCTAAAAAATTTTGCAAATTTTTTACAACAGTTCTTCAAAAATCTGCAAAAATACAGATTTTTGCAAATTTGCTCTTATTTAATTTTCCCGATGTATAACTATTCTGCACAATTCGCGGTTTACAAGAAGGCATGAAAATAAACATGTATATTAACATGAAGGTTATCAAAAATTTTAAAAAAACATTCAGTTGATAAGGGTAACATTTTATAATGATTAATAATCTTAGCACGTACGTACAGTACGTAAATTATGCTGCATGTAATTCAATTATATGTTACATAAAGTGCTAAATACGATGTAGTATTACTAATAATTTTAAATATGTACGTATTTATGTAACAATACCTCACATTTGCGCAAATCAAATCAAGTAAAAACGAAATTATATAGTTTAACAAAAAGGAAATCGGCGATTATTTAGATCACAATTGGAAGTACAGGTTGTATCTTGAATAAACCAAGTAAAAATCAGGTATAACCTGACGCACATAATAAGTCTACTGTAAAAGCCACGATGATGAGAGGTCAAGTGTAGTGTCAGAAAATTTTCAGAGTAATGATTTAATAGGTTTTATTATAATAAAAATTTTTGCTATTTCATATTTTTATACTATCTATATTTTTTTCCTTTTACACCAAAACCTTTGAAGTATCGTATTTTGATATTGTGTAAATATTCTCTATGAAAAAAAATTTGAGAGCATAATACTCGAAAAACATGGTCTCTATATAAGTATAATAATAGCATAATGGTAGATGTAAATAAAATTAGAATCAAGAGAAATTCCAAAATTATCCGGAAAGAAAATGAATGAACATAAAAGACGAGAAGGGTTGGGACAAAAATTAGAAAAATGGCCGATATTTTACGAAAAAAGAAATTTTTAAAAAATAGTGATATAAATAAATCTTACTGATCTGACTGATGAGATGTTGAGAAGATTAAATAAATTTCTGAGAACACTAAATTAAATAAATATGTTCTCATGAGAACATACATCTCAAAATAGTTTCCAACACTGCTCACGTTACCTTTGCTACGCATTTAACATTAATTATTTTTATCTATATATTTTATTGAATATAGATTAAGTTATCATAACCCATTTAAAGACCTAAACTGAATTCGCTTTCAAGAAACGTTCGAACCCAATCTTTGCTTAGAGGTTTTTTTTTTCTTTACATATTTTAATATAGTCTCTTGAAATGGATAAAGGTGTTTAAATTTCATTTAGAAATTGTAAAGATGCTAATTTTACTTATTTTAAACTAGATCTTATCTTAAGAGTTGATTATAAGATTTTGATTTTGATTATATTAACTATATAATTAGTTTGCTACTACTATTTGCATTTATGTCAAAGTTTTTGAATTTTTAGCTCCGTTAAAATTTGATAATCTTCTTATAGAGTTCTTCTGTTGACCGTTTTTATGGAACTTTATTTCAACATTATTTCATAATGTTCACATAACATTGTGGAGCTTCGTTGTTACTGGGCGGTTATAGTTTATTACATATTATTTATATTATTTGATATCATTTGACTTATAATTACATAATACAGCTTTACCGTTCAATACTTCCCATATGATTCATGCTGAAGGAGTAATTATTGTCTGATTCGCATCAATAACTATATATTATACAAAGTCAAATCTAAGGATGTTAAATTGCGAATCTGATCCTAGTGTTAACCGCAGAATCGGAAGCACGTGAAAACTGTGGCTCAGAAACGGTTCCACAAATATGTCGACCTTCTACTAAAAATAGAGTTACCCCGGCTGTATACACTGTATTCG